ATTTTCGATGGCAGAACGAAAATAGACAACAATTTCCAACACTATCGCAGATGTAATTTACTTAATATTAGGCTATCATTTATTGAACTGTTGTGTAAAAGCCATATAACACGCAAATGAATGTGAATTCATATCATGGAACTAATTTAGATAGTTAGGTTAATTAACTGAAACAGGAAGTACCTCAGACTAGCTTACCATAGATCTGGTGAATCCCATTTATATCATCTTCAGTCAATGAGAAGCTTTCTGTGTCCATCCACTGGTAGAAAGGCGCCATGATAGCAGAAGGGTTGTTGGAGTGCTCCAACCCCAGCGCATGACCCAACTCATGAACCGCGACCAGAAACAAGTCAACACCTAACAAGAACAGCAAATTAAATGACTAAACTATAAACAAAGAACAGTTCAAAGACATTTAAATGCTGCAAACATTCATACATTCTCTGTGAAAAAAGTAAACGCTAAGCTAATTCACAGTATCAACACCTAACAAGAACAGCAAATTAAATGACTAAACTATAAACAAAGAAAAAAAAAATCTGTTTCTGAACAGTTCAAAGACATTTAAATGCTGCAAACATTCATACATTCTCTGTGAAAAAAGTAAACGCTAAGCTAATTCACAGTAAAAAAAAAAGAAAGTACATTTAGTTTGAAGTAGGAAAAAGACTGCAGAAAATTGTTCACACCTGAGCCCTCCTGTTGGTTCAAGGTCCATGGCTCGTCTATGTCGAAATGTGTGTCTCCTCCCATTCCGGGACCAGGGAAAAAAGCGTGTGCCAGAGAGCCTCCTTCCCCATCAAAGAGAGACATATCGCCATGATACCCAGAGGCAAACAGTAGTATTATGTCAGGCCCCTCACTGCCATTCTTTATCTCGGGATACGGGACCTCCTCGAACCGCAGAGGCGTTACTTTCTCCCAAACCTGGAAGGCTTTGTAAATAGCCTCATAGGTCTGCTCCTGGCCCACTTTGGGTGAGTGGTTCTGAATACTTTGGCAGGAAATAAAGATTTTTTTTCTCATCATTAGCTTGATGATCATTAACTTGAACAATGTAAACTGAATTTGTTCTTCTGGTTTTGAGGTTTAATTCACCTGTAAGTCAGCTTGTCCTGATCCCATTTGTGGCCAGTAAGTGCGTACCGCTTACGCCGAGTACCTCCCTCTGTTGACTCCTCAAAATGATCTGGCACTCCACAGCGAGGTCTTTTCATGGCACTAAAAAAGAAAGAAAAGAAAAAAATAAATATATATATGAATGAATATTAGTGCTGTCAAACGATTAATCGCATCCAAAATAAAAGTTTGTTTACATAATATCTGTAAGTTTACGGTGTTTATTTTATATATATATATATATATATATAAATACACACATACAGTATATATATTTATATTATTATATGATATATATATTTAATATATAAACAATTTTTCTTAAATATATACATGCATGTGTTTGTATTTATATATACACAATCCACACTCATGTATTGTTATATCGCGATTCTTTTTAAGTGGGAGAACGTGCACAATTGGTGGCTGACTAAATACTTTTTTGCCCCACTGTATATATAAAATAACAATATTTTTATATTTATCAACATTATTTTAAAATGAGTATAAAATAGTGTTAAAGGGTTAGTCACCCAAAAATGAACCTCATGTCGTTCCAAACCCGTAAGACCTTCGTTCATCTTCGGAACACAATTTAAGATATTTTTGATGGAATCTGAGAGCTGTCTGACCCTACATAGACAGTAACGCAACTGAAATGTTCCCAAGTCCAGAGACGTAGCAAGAGACTGTAAAATAATCCATGTGACATCAGTGGTTCAACAGCAATTATACGTTATACGAAGCTACGAGAATACTTTGTGCGCAAAAGAAGAAAAAAAAAAAAAACTTTATTCAACAATTCGTCTCCTCCGCGTCACCCTGTAGCACCATTTAAAGTATTCTCGTAGCTTCGTATACTTGCGGTTGAACCCCTGAGGTCACATGGATTATTTTACCATTATCCTTACTACGTTTCTGGACCTGGGAACATTTCAGTTGCGTTGCTGTCTATGGAGGGTCAGGCAGCTCTCAGATTCCATCAGAAATATCTTAATTTGTGTTCCGAAGATGAACGAAGGTCTTACGGGTTTGGAACGACATGAGGGTGAGTAATTAATGACAGAATTTTCATTTTTGGGTGAACTAACCCTTTAAGTGTTAGTTCTATATTATTCATATATTTATTAATATTGTGAATTATTTTTCATATTTAAATTTTCCATTTTAGTAATTTTCTTAATTACAGTAATATATGTGTTTATTTATTTTTTGTGTATATATGTATGTGTTTAGAGATTGCTTGCTCTCTGAGAGCTGCCATTCTAAATTTTATTGTACTTTGGGCAATGATAATCTTATGTTCTTTTGCCATTTTTAATTCGTTTTTTTATATCTAGCTTTAATATATATATATATTATATATATATATATTTTTTTCAGCTTTAACTTAAACTTTATTCCACTTAGTTTTTCACTAGTTGCTAATGCCACATTTAAAATTTTTTATTTTTAATCTAAAATTTAGGTTTTATTTTATTACAGCTTTATTTCCATTAATGAAAAATTAATTTTAATAGTTTTTGTCTTAGTTAACGATTATGTTCTTTTGCCATTTTTAATTCGTTTTTTTATATCTAGCTTTAATATATATATTATATATATATTTTTTTTTTTCAGCTTTAACTTAAACTTTATTCCACTTAGTTTTTCACTAGTTGCTAATGCCACATTTAAATTTTTTTATTTTTAATCTAAAATTTAGGTTTTATTTTATTACAGCTTTATTTCCATTAATGAAAAATTAATTTTAATAGTTTTTGTCTTAGTTAACGATAACAACACTGGTATACATTATTTACAATATTAATAATAACAACAACAACTCTAAATACATTTTAAAATAGATATAAAACTATTTTATTAATAATAAAATTATTCTTATCATTAAAAAAAAAAAATACTAATTTTATTAAGTAATAAGTGGTATAGATAAGCTAATTGACCTAGTTACACTGTACACCGTATCACAGTTTCTATTTTCTCAGTTAACACACAATCAAAACAGACTGCGATCATCTTGTTTTTCTACAGGCAGTTGAATAAGGAAATCATACTTAAGACTGGCCAAGTCCATGTGTCCGGTCACCTCCAGGCCATAGAAGCGCTGCATGTCCTTAATGGCACTAGAAAGGATCTGGGCTGATTGCATGGTGGACATCTGTCTGCTAGCCTGGGACAGGTAGCCATACGTCCTCAGCCATGACTTTAAGGAACACACAGAAAATGTTGGAGAGTTGACAAGGTGTTGCAACAACTACTACTAAGAAGTGTGGTGATGATGGGATTACACAACAGAAAGAAAAAATTAACATACAGGAAGACATTAATACTCAAGCTGCTTTTTAATTACGCAACTATCCGTTAGAATCCATCAGGAAATATTATGGAGGTCTGGATTAAGATAAGTTAAGTCTTAAACTACGAACTCAAAAAAAGAATTTGTGCTCCAGAGACAAGTTTTAAATGTTTGGTAAAGAATTGAATGTTAATATTTGAAGGTGTTTTCAGTTAAGACCACTGCCACATGGTCAGGCTATGAGGACAGATGTCAACATCCTTAGGCACATACTTACACACCATCTGATGTTCACCAGAGGTTGCAGAAACATCCTATTATAATTCTCGACGTTGAAATTACCAAACAGTTACTAAACAGATAGGACTGGATTCAATACCAGGTAACCCAATGAAACCCTATGGTCCTGTGAGGAGTAAAAAGAAACTTTAAAACTTGCTTTTTATTTAAAAAAAAAAGTCAAACAGTAAAATGGCTTACAAACAGCATTGTAAAGAGAAATGCTAGCTTTTTTTTTTGACTGCTTATTTGTATTTATCGGTTATGTGTCCAGTAACCCAATAAGTTATGCTTTCTAATACAATAATAGGGTGATCATTCGATTGTTACACACACACACACACACACAAAAATACACTTTAATAATAAAAACTATTGGTGTTGTTACAGCATTATATTTTATTAAAGCTCTTATGACCTATACAAACGTAAATCAATTTTTTTCACTTTTTGTTTTGGGATATGTCTATCTGTTACACATTTATCACATGACAATGATAGTTATTTAAAAAGGAATGGTGTTATCAGTAAACCTGATATTATTAAAACTAGGAGTTGAAAAGTGTCAAAACTTTAAACCACTGAGTCTACAAACCTCTGCGTTGAAAGCATCATGTTCTGCAGTTGTTTCAGCAATGTTGACAAACAGCAGGATGAAAATCATAGTAACGGGTCTCAGCGACCGATGCGATCTGCTCCTGCGGACTGACATCTCTCCACTCCTGGACAGCAATGAGAAACGAACACACTACCTTCTCCTCCCCAAAAACCGTGTGATTAGATAGTAACCCGGGAGAATCTGCAGTCTTTTAGCACCAAAATGAGGTCATTGTTCTTCTCGGACCACAAACCCACCAGCTTAGTGAACGTTTTCGCTTTTATTGCTATCCGTGCAAACAGTTCGCATAGGTCTCCATTGGTGCGCGCACGCTTGTAAACTATAACATTAGCATGACCAGCGGCTATCAACCCATTAAATATTGAATAAAAAGACTACTGTACTTGTTGATATCTGCATTGCATTGTTTGTGTTGATATAAGCACCGCCTGGATAACCCCATCTGGAAATGTCGAGAACCAGGCGGCGCGTCCTCGGAACTATACTCAATCTGATGCAGGACACCAAGTATGAGCAATGCATGAAAGCTCATGATGAGGATCTCATGCCGATCTGCAGCACGCAGCCGCACCCCATTCCCCGCCCACTTTCTCGGTTTACCTTTGTGATAGTATGCACACCATTCTTGGTTTTATAATAAACATTCCATATGTATTCTTGAAAAACGCAGATAAAGGGAGCTGTACTGAAATTGGTTTATTTAAAGAACAAAAACGGTTATGCAAATGTAACTTCCACTTAGTTCTCACTGCCACCTGTTGTTCATATTCAGTACTGTAAATATAAAGTAGGATTCATATTGTACGCAAGAAAACAAAAGCAAAAAAACAAAAAAAACAATAGCAGCCCTGATTGATCAATGTGTCTCTCTGTAAAATCACATTCAAGCCAATTTTACTTTAACTAAATTTTCTTGACAGAACATTAATGTTCACTGAGGGTCCATTATCATGGAGTGTTCACTCAGTCAGAGCTAACATGCTAATAGTTAGCTTGTGTACTTGAGGTAGTTTTTATACCCAACAAATACCATTGTGTTGGGTGAAAATGTGATTTATTTAGCTATTTGTCATGTGTCATCGATTTCCCGCTTTGGCGATTCTGATGAGGATTAAAAGGAAGATGCCCAGAGTCCAAATCACTGTCAGTGGAAGGACCAATGTGACCAGATCTAAAATGACACCAAATCCATATGGGTCAAACATGATAAAAAGTATGGTATCGATGTATTAAAATGTCATAGGACACTACATAAACATACTTGTTGTAGGTCTGACTGGCAGCTCTCGTCTGATTGGTCCATAAGACAGCAGGCCTCGAGCCTGCTCATCCATAACCACCTCTCTTTTGGATACAGTTTTACATTCCTAAAACAAATCAGGTCAGGTTAACAATGGGAAAACGTGATTGTCCGAAACCAGCTGGTTAAAAAAAAAAAAAATGCTTACAGGAATACAAGATTTTCCATCCTCAGGTGTGCAGAGATGAACAGTGCAGTGCAGGTAGAAACTGTGGGGCTCGTATACAAACCGAAACATATCAAACGAATAACGGACAGTCGACCCCTCACCGTTTCTTCCTGCAGGGTGTGCCGTACCATTACCAAATGAAATTGTTTTGTCATTTGTGCACCTTGAGGACAATCAGAAAAACAAAGACATTTCTGAAAGGTTAAATATTTAGTTATCGCAACCAAATCTCATGAGAAAAATTTAATTTTACGAGCCACCGATGTCATATTTACAGTGTGATTTGAGTGGAAACACCCTAACCATCAGTGGAACCAAGTACAGAAGTGACTCTTGAGTAAAGGGGGTGTTCACACTTTGTTGTTCGACAATTTTGCAGGCAAAAAAAAAAAAAAAACAGTAATTTAAAATGGGAATCCACATGATCGGGAGTTTCGCTTGAGGGTAAAGAAATTCCTCACAAATTTTACTCGTGTTCATGTTGGTTACACAAATTCGCTGTTGAACAACAGACAGCTGTTTGGTTTGAAAGTGTGCCGCATTGCTTTACATCTGCAAAATTTCACCAAAATGTTGCTAATGTGACTTCACCTTAAGTGGTACTTGATGCATTGCTACACTATTGCTAATGGGCAATGGACCTTTGCCTGCAAAATTTCACAAAGTTGCTGTACCTTCAGTCACCAGTTCACCAAAAACAAAATACCTATGAATTGCCATGTGTGTGTATTGGTAACTGATCTTAAAAAGGAGACATTTGGATTTAAAATTTACAAGCATGAAATTCACAATACTAACCCATTTACAAGCAGTGTGTGGCTAAAGCCTGACTTATCATTAGCTTGAGGAGTCTGAGTCGCCCAACACTCATTTACTTTCAGATGGAAGAAATCTTCAGGCTCCGTCGCTTGGATCTGGACATAGATTTGATCTCCAAGCTTAATAGTAGGTGCGCTGGTGAAAGCCTCATTGTATGTGTGATCTTTAAACAGGCTCATCTCCACCTTGGCATCCACTTCATCCACTTTGAACATTCTTTCACTTCAAAAACAAATCAAATCGGTTAAACACGCATGCTTGGGTATAATTTGAAGATTTTTTTTTTTTAATAAAATGAAAATGTGATTAAAATGTACTCACCCTTAGGCAAACCATAATGTAGATATGTTTGTTTCTTCATCGTTTTAGCAATTTAGAAATCCATCACTTAATATCTTGTGAAGAAACAAAATCACCATTAAAATTATTGCACAATGTTAATAGATGGACTGGAGTTAATAGATGTGGATTTCTTGTGGATTGTGACGTTTTTAAATCAGCTGTTTGGACTCCGAGTCGCCATTTCTCACTATTCTGATGGCACCCATTCACTGCAGAGAATCCAATAGTGAACAAGTGATGTAATGATTCTGTTCCAATGAAGAAACAAACCCATCTACATCTTGAATGGCTTGAGGGCGAGTACATTTTCAGCAAATTTTCATTTTTGGGTGGACTATTCCTTCAAAATCAATGGGTTACCTGGAGAAAGTGATGATGGGAAACGCCAGGCTGAGTCTACGGATGTACGGATAGATGCACTTGTACTCAATCTGTACAACTGGATCTCTCACAATGTTTCCATAGATAGGTGGGTCAGACATCAGTGTTAAGGAGTACACAATGTGCGTTATGTTCTTCTGTTTAGAGTGGATGCCATTTAGGGACATGTAATGTGAACATGCTGATGCTTGCATAGTTTGAGGGGGGAATTTTTTTAAATTTTACCTCCAGAGGTTTGCCTCCACATGCAGTGTACTGATCCATTGGTGTGTGCACTGTGAAATAGGCTGATCCAGAGATCTCCTCTCTATGGGCACGACAGCTGGCGTTAGTCAAATGAACAGCTTCTATTCCCACATTGTAGTACTTGAAGAACTCTTCATCCACTAGGATGGAAATGAAGTCTTTGCCACACGTCACATTCATTGTTGCGACTTGAAAAGAAATATTAAGATTAATACAAAATTTGTTAAATTACAATAACATAACATGGAAAAAAACCCAGCAAGTTTGTTAGTCTTAGGTGGTTCTTAGTTAGCCAAGCAACCAGAGCCAGATTCACAAGACATTCTTATGAAGGAAAATTATTATTATTTTTTAAATTGTTATTAAAACAAAACTTAATTCTAATTCTTGAAAACAATCTTAAAAATCATTGTAAACAACTTGAAGTTAGGATAACCTAACCCCAAAGGTAGCCTATAGTCTGTCATTTTATTCTTCTTTTTTTAATTAAGATATTAGAAATAAAATGACAATACTTCAAAACAACACAACTTAGACAAAAAAAAGAAAAGAAAACATTTATAAAGAATTCTTCTCAAGACTTTTGTGAACATGGCCCCAGCTTGACAACCAGCTAAACGCCAGTCTAGGAGATCAGTGTAAACTAGCTAAGACCAGCAATTCAACTGGTTACAGTTTTGCCCTCAAGGTTGACTCTTTTACCCTGGTCACAGAGATCTCCAAAGTAGCCAACTGCACATTTACAAGTTCGCCTCTGCGACAAAACGCAGGTAGATGGGTCAGAACACTGTGAGATCTCACATTCACCTGAATGAAAAAAAATGGTTTAATAACAAGACTCGATTGAGATGAAATATTTCCATCACATGTGACCTTACCAGAAATACTCCCAACAGCACAGAGTAACGTTGCAAGTTGCAGAAACACCTGTGAGAGAAATTACGCAGTTAAAATCTGACACTGAAATACTTAAAAAAACAAAATCAATTAAGAAATAAAACCTTTGATTTCTGATAGTACGTCATTTTTATCGGCTAATCCTTTTTATTTAGATTTTTTTTGGGGGGGGGGGAGGTTTTTTGTTTTTTTTTTAGAAAATAGCAGTGGTAGCCTAATATCTAGTCTACATGTCAAATGGAACCCAAATAAGGATTAAACACATCAGAGGAAACGCTAAATTAATTTGATGAGTGACACCTGTAACAATGCCTCTGGTCGTCTGATTGACACATTACATGACCAATCACTTCTTTTACAAGACGTTTATGTGGCGGTACCGACGAAAAATAAATAAATAAATAGGCACACATATTCAAAATACATTATCAAACATTTCATGCATGTACATAGCCTGTTATACATTGTTATGGTTACACACCGGCTACATTATAATGATGTGTTAAAATAAATACACATAACACTTGAACTATTATTAAAACCAGTCCTATTCTCAAATGATAGCATTTAACAGCATATTAATATTTTTCTTTAACGTTTCCAAAGAACATGTGACTCGTATGATGTAATCAAAACAAATCCGTTGATCGGCGCTCGATTGATTCAGTTACAGTCGCTGCATGATGTTTGGAGGAAGTCATGTGAGCCGCGACATATGGTAGCTTTGGTCAATTGTTGATATTGAAAAATCATCACCCGCGAGAAAATATTCATCAGGTTTACCTTCTGTTCAGAAATAATCGCGGTTTTCGGTTAGTCGTCTCTAGGGCTTTTATTCTGCTTTGGCAGTAAGTTAGCTGCTCTCATCCTCTGCTCCCCGCTTTCACTTGAGTGTCGCAGACAGCAGGTCATTTAATATCTTATAAGTGATGCTTGTGAGGATTTTAGGGCGTCGTCTTGTCTGTATACAATACAAGTGACGAGCAAAATCTTTTGGATGAAACATTAATACATGTATTCAGTCATACACTAACTGAACTGTCAACTAATGAGACTTTCTCTTTACTCACTAAGCTTTATTCGGAGACCAGTTTGAACAATTCGCAGTTGTGGTTTATGCGTAATTTAAGGGGTTTTTCGGAAATACTTAAAAAAAATGAACACAGAAAAGGATTTTTCTCCATTGACACCAAGCATTGTGAGAGCTCTCAACGACAAACTGTACGAGAAGAGGAAGGTGGCAGCTCTTGAGATTGAAAAGTGAGTCATAATCTGTTGTTTATATTCAAAAATGAGAGGAAATGTTTTCAAATTAGAATATGTGGTATTCATGTGCCTACAACTGCTTTTAGATATGTTTAGTCCTATTTTGCTCCACTGACACTCATACTACAGCGCGTGAATTATAGTTTGACATGCATAGTTAGTTTCTCTCTGTAATAAGTCATTAATCGTTGTTATTTTGCTCAAATGGAGAGCTGGTCATCTGACATGCCACATGATCTCATTAGTCAGGCTTATGATCAATAGCCCATAGTCCAAACAGCACTGAAGTCCAGCTAGTGTTTGAAATGAATTATTAGAATGCTGTGTTTTATTTATAGGCTATTCCATTTACCCGCTTCTTCCCAATCGTCTGTCAGGCTTGTACGGGAATTCGTCGCCCAGAACAACTCTGCACAGATCAGACATGTCATCCAGATACTGGCCACAGAGTTTGCGCTCTCCCAGCACCCTCACAGCCGAAAAGGAGGCCTCATTGGGTTGGCGGCGTGCTCCATTGCCCTGGGAAAAGTATGTGAAATAAATGTGCTAAATACTAACTCAATACACCACTGAATACTTGATTCATTGGTATATTGGCTGCAAGATGTTCAGTATGCTTGAAATTCCAAAGCAAATATGGAGGCTTTGCTTATGTTTATCTTATCTTTTGTACTATTCAGGATTCTGGATCGTACCTGAAAGAACTCATTGATCCGGTTCTTACATGTTTCAATGATTCTGACAGCCGTCTGCGCTACTACGCCTGTGAGGCCCTTTACAATATAGTGAAAGTTGCCAGGGGAGCAGTGCTGCCACACTTTAATGTGCTGTTTGATGGGCTTAGCAAGGTAAACTGATGCCCCTTCATGTCTAGATGCATGCATGAATGGTAGAAATTAATCCCACATGGTATTCCATTCTAGTTTGAAATATTTAGTTGAAATATTTTTTTAGTAATCAATGCCATTTAAAAATTTAAATATAGTAAAATATTTCTTAAGGCTAAAAAGCAGTGTTGTTGTTGTCAACTTTTGGGATATTACGGTTTAACTTTTTTGTTATTTGAAATAAAATGTACATTAACAGATTTTTTTTTTCAGATTGTTGCCAAGGCAACATTTCTTATTTTCATTTAAGTTGATTTAATGTTCTAAAATAATGAGAATTAAAACTGTAAAAAAAAATTTAAAAACTGTATAGACATAATAAAACACAAATGACAAAACAGAAATTACTAAAACTATATTAGCATCTCAGTGGTCTTAAAGTAACACTGACTAAAACTATTAAAAATAGTTTAGTTTACAGTAATTGAAATACAATAAAATATTAGGTTTTATTTTTATTTACGTAATTTAAGAAAAAATTGTAAGAATTGTCAACTTGCCAAAATAATTTTGTTACTAAAACGAATAAATAATTAATTCAAATGAATTAAAGCTATATAGGAATTTTTAAAAAATGAAGTTTTTGAAAAAGAAACTGAAACTAATAAAAATGACAGAAGTTCAAAACAAAAGTACAAAACAAAATGACTGAAAATATTAATAAATACTATAATAGTATATAATACAAAATGTTTTTATTATTTTCTTCTGTTATCTTTTCTAAAATATATATATTTTTAACATATTTCATATGTAAGAGGTGATAACATTTTACCTTTTAACCGTTACTGACATTTTGAACATAATTTTCATTGGAATTGTCATTACACAGTCATTCCTAACTTTTGTATTGTAATTTCCTCTTCCTGTGCCTAAAACTCACCTTACATGTGATCTGTTTTTTACAGCTCGCTGCAGATCCTGATCCAAACGTAAAGAGTGGATCTGAGCTCCTGGATCGGCTTCTTAAGGTGAGTTTGAAATTAGAAAAGTGGATAAAGTTAAAGTTTGGAGGTATCAAATGAAATAATGACTTCTTATGTCCTTTTTATTTTAAGGACATTGTAACAGAGAGCAACAAATTTGACCTAGTGGCTTTTGTCCCGCTGTTGCGTGAGAGGATTTACTCAAACAACCAGTATGCCCGCCAATTCATTATCTCATGGGTGAGTTGAGCACTTTCACCAATCTTTGTTTTATTTTTGCTTTAAATATTTCTATTTAGCTTTATTTTATTTCAGTTTTACTGTTAGTAATTTTAGTACTTCAAATTCAACTTATTTTTAGTGCTGTCAAATGATTAATCACGATTAATCGCATCCAAAATAAAAGTTTTTGTGTACATAATATATATGTGTGTACTGTGTATATTTATTATGTATATATACATACACTCACATACAACATATATTTTGGAAATATTTAAATGCATACATTTATATATTTATATTCTTATATTTTATATTATATATATTTAATATATAAGCACAACATATTTTTCTTAAATATATGCATGCATGTGTTTGTGTATATATATATATATATATATATGTAATAAATATACACAGCATACACACATATATTATGTAAACAAAAAGTTTTATTTTGGATGCGATTAATCGTTAAGTTTTTCATGTTTAGCTTTTTGCCTAATATTTATATTTTATTTTGGCTCTATTTCAGTCACCCGAAAATGTCAAATTGTTTTGTTTTTCATGAACAATAACAACACTGATAATAGTTGCCATTATCATTTTGTGATTTCCTGTGACTCCAGATCCACGTGTTGGAGTCGGTTCCTGATATCAACCTCTTGGATTATCTGCCAGAATTTCTAGACGGACTCTTTCAGATTCTTGGAGACAGCAGCAAAGAGATCAGGCGGATGTATGTCTCATTATCTTTTCCTTTACCTGAGATAGTTTCTCCCTCTTCCTCTTTTCTCTGTTATGTTTTTCTCATTTTTAAAGAGCATTAACAGCTGCTGTTTAATAGGTGTGAGGTGGTTTTGGGGGAATTCCTGAAAGAAATTAAGAAGAATCCGTCCAGTGTCAAATTTGCGGAAATGGCCAACATATTAGTCATCCACTGTCAAGTGTCTGATGAATCAAAGTCGAGTGAGTCAGATTTAAAACTTTGTAGAATTCTTTTTATAGGTAAGTAGTGTAATTCTTTAATTTTGTCTTTCTGCAGCTAACGATCTCATCCAGTTGACGTCGATGACATGGATGAGGGAATTCATTCAGCTTGCTGGAAGAGTGGTACTGCCATATTCCTCTGGCATACTGACAGCAGTGCTGCCTTGCCTTTCCTATGATGACCGCAAAAAGAGTATCCTAAACTGTGGTTGCATATCTAATATAAAATGCATTTGCTGAGAGTATGTTTTGTGTTCAGTGCCATTTAGCTATGTTTTTGAGGTATTGATATTGTCCTGTTAGTATTAGTTGCTACTGCTCCTCAATAAACCATCCCAAGGTACTAAAGAGGCTGCCAGTGCATGTAATCATAGCCTGATGAAGCTTGTGACTCCTGAAGATGATGAAGATGATGAAGAATCACAGACCAAATCGTCCCCTCCGGGCGATGGGACTCCATCTAAGAAAGAGAGTGATCTGAATGGCAAGTTTTTTTTAATTATAATTTTTCTTCTTTATTTTCTTCCAATTTTATTTATTTAAATGTGTGGAAGTAAAATAAAGTGAAAAGGTATGAGAAAAGTGATTGCATTGGCCGGAATCGAACCCGGGCCTCCCGCGTGGCAAAGTGCCAAAATCGTTTGAGGGAGTGAACTGTGCTGCCTAGTGTACAAATGTGGTAATTGCTGAGGAAATTTCCTAGACAGTAAGAGAGATTGGAGTGTGCCACCTAGTGAGCAAATGTGGTAATTACTGAGGAAAGCTCCAAGACAGTAAGAGAGATTGGCTGTGCCACCTAGTGGGCATGTATGGCAACTGCGTTTGAAAGTGCCCTCACTTTGGAAGCCAGGGGGCGACATTAAGATTTCAGGAAGGCATTGGTGGTTCAGTGGTAGAATTCTCGCCTGCCACAGCTGCATAGTTGTAACTCACTGACAGCCAATGAAATTGAAGCATTTCAACAGCTTGCCAAAGGGCAGAAATTATGTCACAGCCAATCAGATTTTTTTCATGTATTTATTTGGACCAGGGTTCGAATCCCAATCACGCAGGTCTAAACCATTATTTCACACAGCTTTATGTTTTTTATAAAACAATTCTAAAATGTAACAATACATTACAGCTGCAAAGTATTTTAAATGTATGTCTTGCCTTTTTGGATTACAAAGCAAAGTATTATGAATAAATGATTAGTATTAAAATAAATACAGTAAAATAATAGTAATATAACATTACATGGTTATATGAAAACATGAATAGTTATATTAAATGGCTTTTGTAATGTAAATAAGAGGCATTTAAATTGAACTCTAATGGAGTAATATTCAAGTATTCAATGAAAATTAAATTAAGTGATGGAATAATTTAAGTCAACACTTAATAAGTTAAATGACCAATTAAGTGTTTCCAGAACCATAGAAACTGTAAAATATTACTCCTATGAAGTAGAACACAGCACTCATGAAGCAATTTATCATTTTCAGTTGTATTTTTATTAAATGCTTTAAGCACTTTTTAAGATTAGTAAATATTGATCCAAAATAATAAAGCAGAAAGAAAAATAGAATTCTGACAATATATACATATAATAATCTCACACTGAAAAATAAACATGCATTTCTTTTTTTTCTGCCCATTTGTTCTCAAAAAATGCAGACTCTTTAAACTCTTTCCAGGTCATCTCTTTCTGCATGCCCTGAGGTTGGTAAATGGAAAAGACTTTAGCAGGGCAATGACCATATTTCCCTGCTACGCCAGGAAAGCCTGTGTGTATGTGAGGACTGTTTGGACCCTGCTTCAGGTCTATTTTACAAAATCTGCACAAGCAACCAACTTGCATTTTTGCTGTCCTCTCTCCTCCACCAGTTTCTTTGTGTCCTCAAGTTCACTCTTAAAAAACTCCATTTCCATAAAGTCTTGGAATGGCATTCTGGGGTTTGTTAGTCCTTAATCACTGGAAGCATTAAAAACCTTTGTGGAACAGTAGAAGTACCTGACAGGGCCTTGCTGATTAAAACAAAAGTGGATAGAGGAACCATCTTTGGCTGTCCACAAGCAAGACAAGTCTTTGTTTGTTTGTTTCTTCTCCTGCTCCGGTTGCTGCTGGCGCTCCATAATACAATTCTCTCAATGGTGTCATGAGTTAGGAGTGTGGTCAGAGCAGGTGCTGGTGGGTTTACATCCACAGGCTTCATTGTTACCACTGGCGCTCTGGTTGTTTTACTACCTGCTTTAAAGACGTTTCTCTGGAGTTGTTTAAGGCTGAACTGGTGTTCAGCAGTTTGGCCAGGTGCTTGTCATACTGTGAAATGTGTAGTTTTGTGGTCGAATGGAGCATGCTGTTTGGATCAGTAGAGGAATTGTGGACCATTGCTGCATAGTCCCGAGGATGTCCTTCTTCCCATGGTGTTTATTAAGCAAGTTGTCAATGGGCTCTGCGTTTGTGGTCCAGTACAAACCCCCTGCCATCAGTCTTCACAGGTCCAGTACGGGTCGCATGCAAGGCCAGCATAGGCAGAGGTGGCATATATGTAGTTCCTATACAGAGGGAAAAAATGTAATCAATTTCTGCATTCTGAAAATTCTGATTGAGCCTCCACATGGGAACCATGAGATGAGGACAGGGAGGGCACAGGCAGTGTACCAGTGGTGTCTGCAACAAGTTGAATATTTAGTTTAATGTGTAAGGAAAAAGGTAAAGTTGAGACCTTTTTAAGACCAAGTAAATCAAATTTGAGGAACAAATGAGGAAAACCACAAATATGTTCTGTAAATGTAAATGTCTGGAGAGAAACACAATGAGTTTGAAAATACAACTTCCAACAGATATTCATAATTTAATTCATTTTACAAAAATGCACTGAAACAGTCCGCTCCCAGCCACTAGAATATGTAAATACAATATATTTTTCTGTACATTCAGATCATGCTGCAAAACAGTGATGTTCTTCCACTGTATTTTTGTCTTGTTTTCCAGTGCAAATGCCTAAAGATTCTTAAATAAAGATACATTTACTGGAGATACAAAATGACATGAAATATGAAGTATTGTTTGAAGTGATTTTGTGATTAAAACTGAACTAGTATCTGCCATTTGGCAAAAAAGTCAACTTAATTTAAAAGGAAGTTTTGACACCTCATTGACAAATATTTGTTATTGTTTTAAGTGTAAACTCAATTTTATTACATTTTTCAAGACTTCATTTTACATTTGCATGTGAAATAAACGTATCTTGATTGAAAGATGTTTAATATTTGTATTGGAAAACAAGACGAAAAACAGAGGAAGAGATTCCTTCACTTTTTGCTATGCATCCAGCATTTAATGCCATCATTTTATGAATTTAAGACTTTCTGCTCTGATTTAAAACTTTCTTAAGGCATTAATTTGTGTACGGGTAAATTAAGACATTTTAAGACTTTAAAACCTGTAGAAACCTTTTGTGTATGGTGTTGTTAATGTGTCAAATATTTACCTGTATCTGTCTGAGGATCTGCTTGGATACCAGGAAAAGATGATAGCAAGGGCATAGGACGTGTACAAACAGTGGCCTCTACAAGAACTACAAAATAGCAATATTACAAAAAGCAATAATTCTATTACAGACACACATGCACACATATACATACATACATACATACATACATTATATATATATATAAATAAACCATAATGTTACTATAGTAAAACTGTAGTAATCCTACTGTACTGTAAATATAATGCCCAATACAATAACAACAATAGTAAATTTATTGTTGTGATTCAACTAAAATGCCATGGCTAAATTATGGTTACTATAGTAAAACCATGGTCAGAAAACATTTTTGAACTGTGGAATACATTTACGTTAGGTTACGTCCATTCATAATTTAGCTTGTAATCAACAGATGACAAACAATACACAGAAACGTAAATTACAGCAATGTTCATAATTTTGCGTGCAAACAAATCAACCTACGATGAACTGTAGTAAATAAAACCCGACAGGTAACGTTTGGAAACGAACAAAGTTTACTAATGTGATTTCAGCATTAACGGTTACAAAACGTAAACTGATCTCACATAAAGTATTTTACCTTTGATAGATGCGCTGGGAATGCGTTTAATTAAACTACCGAGGCAGATCGCCGCTGTGTGTTTTCTTCTTCTTCTTCTGCGAATTCAAATTTCCCGGGGTGCCAAAACATGGAAGAGCGCCACGAGAGCTCTAGCGGCCGAAAGTATATTGCATCCGTAGTGGTTTAGCACTACCATTGAGATGAATGGGAAACGGTTTAGGGCCGTTTAGCTAAAGAATCCCCGGGTTCGATTCCCGGCCAATGCATCCACACAACCTTTGATAGATGCGCTGGGAATGCGTTTAATTAAACTACCGAGGCAGATCGCCGCTGTGTGTTTTCTTCTTCTTCTTCTGCGAATTCAAATTTCCCGGGGTGCCAAAACATGGAAGAGCGCCACGAGAGCTCTAGCGGCCGAAAGTATATTGCATCCGTAGTGGTTTAGCACTACCATTGAGAATGAATGGGAAACGGTTTAGGGCCGTTTAGCTAAAGAATCCCCGGGTTCGATTCCCGGCCAATGCATCCACACTTTTTTCCTGTTGCACATTTTCGAAATATCTTGCTTATTCACACTAACGTTGAAATGTTTGTGGTCAGTATGATTTTTTTTCTAAATAAATTAATTCTTGTATTCAGCAAAAATGTGTCCAATTGCTCAATAGAGACAGTAAACATATTGTTAAAAAACAAATCTATTTCCAATAAATGCTGTTTTTTTAACGTTCTATTCATTAGAGAATTGTGTGTCATAAAATATTAAGCAGCACATTTTTTTTCAACATAAAAAACAAATGTTTCTTCAGCACCAAATCATTCTTCTTTATGCACAATCAGCTTGTAACACTCCAAAGAGAAAGGAAAACTTGAAATCACATCATATGACCCCTTTAATGATCATGTAACACTGAAGACGAGTAATGGCAGCTGACAGTGTGTGTGTGTGTGTGTGTGTATGTGTGTGATCTTGGTCATACATTTTACTGACCCTGAAGCAATTGTTTCCACATTGTTTTCTAAATGCAAGTGCCAAATAAAGTGCTTTTGCTTTCGCCTAGAAACACACAGCGTCTCCCTGACATGGCTGCTTCAACACTAACTGCTGTTACTGAAACCACGCCTTCTTTCTTTGCGTGAACATTTGGGTGCATTATGCAAATATTTCCACATAGTGAGGTAGATATGTGGGGGCGTGTTAGAACGAGCCGTTTTAGGGGGGCGTGGCAGAGTCTTAACTTTGATAAAGAATATCTCTTTGGTTTTGAGACTTTAGTCTTTGCAACTTCAGGGATCTTATCTATGCACAACCAGCTTGTAACACTCCAAAGAGAAAGGAAAACTTGAAATCACATCATATGACCCCTTTAAGGATCATGTAACACTGAAGACGAGTAATGGCAGCTGACAGTGTGTGTGTGTGTGTGTGTGTGTGTATGTGTGTGATCTTGGTCATACATTTTACTGACCCTGAAGCAATTGTTTCCACATTGTTTTCTAAATGCAAGTGTCCTGAAAATTAATTTGAAAACCTTTGCCTGCTTTGATTTTATATCTCTGTTTTTGGTTATAGATTCCCTAAATGAGTCTCAGGAGTCAGTAGGCTTCAGCAACATCTCCTTCTTCACTCCAGCAAGGTACGTTTTGACAGTCACTGACACAACAACACTTTGTCTTTCTGTTTTCTGATGTTACACACTAAACACAGTAAAATAACTCATTAATGAACATGAATTCTAAGTAGAAGAGTCAACCATTAGCTGTTACTAAATGTCTACCTAAGTGTCTAGTTAAAATATCAGAAGCTATTTAAGGATTTCTACAGGATCTCTGATTTACTCTGTGCTGTGTAGTTCTGACAGGTCTGCTGTAACTCTGGATCTGGATGGCATAGTGCAAGTACTGGACAGACATTTACACGATTCATCCACCGGAATGATGACTCGCATCGCTGTGTTGAAGTGGTTGTACCATTTGTACATCAAGACCCCTCGCAAGGTTTCTATAGATGGTATTTTAAATGTGCAGTTTCAATGCTAAAAAGTACAGTGCTAAACGTGTTTTATTCCACTTTATCTCCATGCCAGATGTTCAAGCACACAGATAGTTTGTTCCCCATGTTACTGAAGACACTATCAGACGAATCTGATGAAGTAAGTCATCATATTTTCCCAATCATCTCAGTGCAGGTCTACCAGACGCAGCAATTTTAAAGAACAAATCTCTCTCATAGGTGATTTTAAAAGACTTGGAGGTTTTAGCAGAAATTGCATCATCACCTGCTGGTCAGACGGACACGTCTGGGTTGTGCGACAGCTCGGATAGCAAAACAGAGCTTCATATTCCAGGTGGGGTCAGAGATGGACAGCCAGTGGTGGTTGGTGGGTAACAATTCCTGATTCTCTTTATATCTGTTTATATACCAGGAAAGAAAATTATTAACAGAATGCTGTGAACATGAAATCAAACAAGCTCTTTTTATTTGACAGGTTCAAAGGTGACAGATTTATCTCCATCGACTCCCAGCATGAATTCATACTTCTACAAGTTCATGATTAATTTGCTCAAGCGCTTCAGTTTAGAGAGGAAGCTTCTAGAAATGAGAGGGGCTTTCATTATCAGGTAAAACTATCCTAGCTCCTTTATTGAAGACTACTGTAGTTCCTCAATGGTTTAAACCTAGTAAAATTGTAGTAATCCAAGTAGAAACATCTGTAAATCTGAGTATACAAATAGATTCAACAGATTTTGTCAGTAAGTTTCGTCTACTTCTCAACAGGCAGCTGTGTCTCCTCCTGCATGCGGAGAACGTATTTCACTCTATGGCGGACATCTTACTCAAGGAGGAAGATCTGAAGTTTGCCTCCACCATGGTGCAGACACTTAACACTATTCTGCTTACCTCAGCTGAACTCTTCCAGCTGCGGAACCAGCTCAAGGACTTGCGCACACAGGTAACATCTGCTTTGAGGACTAGGATCTTAAGAACAGACTCATAAAATCCAGGACGATTGTTTCTACTTGAGGTTTTGCATCTGTGCTCATGGCTTATGGTTTAAATATATTATTAGAAATTTTTGCAGACAGTCACTTGTAATTACACTTTTTAAAATACAAACATATAAAACTTACATTTTAACAAATAAACATTAAAAAAAAGAAAATGTCATGAAAATAATAAATGAACAAAATGTTTTTAAATACCCCACCCAAAAACTTAACCCATAAGTGCTAGCCAGTGGTAAAAGTAGGTACTGAAGGCATAATAAACCTATTAATCACAAGTTATCTGTGCTCATTATCACTGTTTTATGTTTCTACTTTTTACCCATCAGGAAAGCTGTGCTCTTTTCTGCTGCCTCTATCGCTCTTGGTGTCACAATCCAGTGGCCACTGTGTCGCTCTGCTTCCTGACACAGAACTATCAGCATGCCTATGACCTCATCCAGAAATTGTATCCTTGCTGTAAAGAGTTTATAATGTATAAGACTGACTCAATATTCTTTATGCTAGTGCTAAAAAAAAGATGTGCTGCTTAATATTTTTGTGGAATCACTGATACATTGACAAGTCAAATAAATAGCATTGATCATTGATAAGTCAAATAAATAGCATTTATTTGAAATATAAATCTTTTGTAACTATATAAATGTCTTTACTGTCACTCAATGTAATGTGTCCTTGCTAAATAAGAGTTCTCTGTAATCTAATGTGTAAAATATTTACAAAAAATCTTTGAGTAATCACAAACTACTGTAGAAGTAATTGAATTTAATTGATCAAAATGTGCCCGTACTCTAGAAATATATATATTTTTAAAAAATGACAAAAACACCTTGATTTGAGCTGATCAGTGGAGACCTGGAGGTAACTGTGGACTTCCTCATGGAGGTGGATAAACTTGTGCAGCTAATCGAGAGCCCCATCTTCACCTGTGAGTCCCATTCATCCACCACATAAAAGTGTTGAGTATCATTTTCAGCTCTCCACACTAACACTCATTCTCTTTGCAGACCTTCGTCTGCAGCTACTGGATGTAGAGCATAACCCGTATCTCATCAAGGCTCTGTACGGCCTGCTGATGTTGCTTCCTCAGAGTCAGGCTTTCCAGCTGCTTTCACATCGGCTCAGCTGTGTGCCAAACCCTGAACTCATGAGGACCGTGTAAGTTCTCATGCGCTCTAAACAGTCTGACATCAGTCTGACTGGATATTCTCAACTGCTTTATTTTTTCAGGGAAGACCCAAAGGCACCCGTCAAAGACAAACGATTAGCCCAGCCACACATCGACTACAGTGAACTGCTCCAGCACTTCGACAGAGTCCAGAGCAAACACCTGGAAGTGAGGCATCAGAGGGCGGGACGCTCTGAGCACCCAGACAGGAAGTTGTAAAGGTCACATACAGGATGAGATTACGCAGCCTTTGTCTGAAAAGACTGGAACCTCAGCAGGACCTGTAGTGGGCATCTACGTGTCACCTTATTCAGTTTTTAATGTATTCAAGCTACTATAGGCATGAGGGACTTCAATGTGCTTTATTTTTTATACTACGTGAAGTGCTTTATATTCAGGTGCTGGAGTTGATGTAGTATGTACATACTTGGACATAATTGGACTAGGTCATCTGTTACAGATTAAGGGCCAATGGTTATATCATTCCCAACTGACTGGTTTAATATAACCCTCCCCAAACCATTTGTACAAAACACCTTGCACGTAGCCCTGGATGTTTATTAGGAATTTTTATCTAAAACTTGATGTCTTTTCATGACAAGTACTGTAAATGAGTCTTTAATGGACATTTGTCTTTTTTGTACTGCGATTTTATCTCTCACAAACCACAACCAACAATATTCACTCTTTCCTCAGCATTCCCTTAGGAGTCTGCTTGTCCTGATCACATTTTCACACGTTAACATATTCATTCTTGGCCTTATGTACATGCAAGCCGTTTCTTTGTAATGTGAAGACAAAGTTACAATAAAGTGGACCATGATCATTATGTAGTTTTTGTTTGTTTTCTTGAATCACATGCTGCTTATCAGCATGAGAACCCCAGAAGCTCACTTTTTACAATCCAGCAGATGGCGCTATTCTATTACTTTCACTAAGAAAACGTATTGGCTGTGGCTGAGAGAGAAAACGCTTAATTTCTTACCAAAAATCACTAGACGCTTCTTTTTAAATGACTGAATTT